CTGCAAATTTTAATTGCAAATAAGGATGGTAACTTTGTATTTTTTTTATTAAAGAATGTTAATTTTGTTAATTTTTAAATAAGGCTATTGATTTTCAATTTTTTCTATTTAAAATGTCATCTTTCAATTTTTTTAATTTAAAGATGCCAACTTTCAATATTTTAGTAAAAAATTGTTTTTATAGTAAAAAAATATATTTATCACGTTAATATTATCATTTAATTAATTTTTAAATAAAAAAATTAAAATTGATGTCTTTACACATAAAAAATTAATGTCTTTAAATATAAAAATTTTAAAATTAATATCTTTATTTAAAAAGTAATCTCCTTTAATAAAATTTTTTTTTTTTAAAAAAAGTAAAATTAACAACCTTATTCGTACATTTTCTCAATTTTAATCGGAGCAGTTCCATGCTAGTCAAAATCTCTGAAACCCTCATTGCCTCCAGATCTCTAAATTCCAACAACTTCAGAGGACAAATTCCACCATCTATTGGTAATCTCTCGAATCTATACTGGCTGGATTTGACTGACAACCAAATAGAGGGACCAATTCCCGTGTCAAATGAAACTACGCCTGGCCTTGACATGTTGGTCAATACCAAGCATTTGTATGTTACTTGTCTTCCTAATTTTAACTCGTGTTATTATTTTCTGTTTCCTTTTTAATAATATCATCTAAAGTTTTCTCCTTTATCCACAGTCATTTGGGACAGAATCAACTTTCAGGCGAAATCCCGGAGCAAATTTTCAGCTCAAACATGACTCTGATATATGTGTGAGTTTCACTTGTGTTTTCTTTAATTTTATTTTAACTGCATAAGTTACCTGAAAATAAATTAGCAGAGGGCTTAAACCTGGGAATTTCCTCCAACAAACAAATGTTCCCTTCTGAATAACAATGTTTCTATACCAAAAGCAGCTAGTAGTAGCAGATTGTTTCTAGTTGTTATCTCTGAGTATGTTTGATTTAAAGGAAATGGGGGGGAGGGGGAAGGGATGGATGAGTTTTTCAACCACTCAAATTATACTGTTTTCAAATATTGCAATCATATTGGTTAAAAAATTCTTGCCTCCCCTCCATTTCCCTCCAATGTTCTTCCTTTGTTTAGTGGAGTAGCAAATCTGCCCTTTTCTTCTTTTCTCCTTCCTTTTCAGTTTTCACCAAATCACAGGCTAGATTATCGTATGTTTGAAAGCTTTCATTTCTTCTCTTTCTACTAGGTTATTTGACAGCAATAAACTCACCGGTCCTATCCCTTCAACCCTTGGGCTTGTGCAATCTTTACTGGTGATGTGAGTATCTAGAACACATGCTTAAGGATAATCGAAATGAGATTATTGTTGGAATTGGATTTTTTTGTGGGTGTGACTGAAGAAGTTATTGTTTTGGCTGTAGACGTTTTGATAACAATTTCTTAGGTGGGAATGTTCCGTCAAATCTCAACAATCTCACGAGTCTTCAAGAATTGTAAGAATGCAAAAGATGAAAGATGAGCAGTCTTTGCATTTATTAGTTTATCTTCTCTAATAGAAAATGTTTTGTCAACTTCTTTTCAGGTATTTGTCTAACAATAACCTGAATGGCCCTTTACCCTCCCTTACTGGCATGAGTGATCTCAACAACTTGTAAGCCGTGCATGCTTTTGCATAACTAAACTACCCTTTTTTTTCTTTGTCTTTTTCTCCACTTCCTATGTGTCTGCAATGCATGCACTTTATGTCTTCAGTTGAAATTGTTATTCACCAGGCCTCCTTCAATAACCCTATTTAGTTGTCATTGGTTTTCATTCTAATAATATGATTGTGTTTTACAGGGACTTGAGTAATAATCCATTCAGTACCTCTGTGATTCCTACATGGGTTTCATCTTTGTCATCTTTAACAACACTGTATGTCCATCTCTCTCTTTTAACATTGTATGAAATATTTTAAATGCAGAACCCAAATAGTCCCTTATAGTCTTTTACCATCACACTTCATTAAGGACCATATGTTTTGTTAAACTATTGGCGAGAATATCTTTCCACTCCCAATGAATATTTAAAGTAGCAATATGATGTATAAAACTTAGTCATGCTAGTAAATGGTACAATAAATCCATCCCTAAATTTGTTTTCGCTCCCTCCCTCTTTCCTTCCCTCTCTTCCTTGCCTTCTCTCTTTGTTTTCTTCATGTTCATGGACACATGCCCATACTCCTATGTACATACACACTGATGGGTTTCCTTTCAAGTTAAGAGAACGATTGATTTTTTTTGCAAGGCAGAGGGATGGAAAGCACTCAACTTCAAGGTGAAGTTCCTGTCAACCTTTTCAGCCTTCCAAATTTGCAGACTGTGTGCGTATCAGCTTCACCTCATGCAATACCATTCCTTGTCCAAGATGTTCACAACTCTGGTGAAACATATTTGTTGATCCAAACCATGGAGATGATAGCTGGAGGCTAATTATTTCTATCTTTGTCACATTGTACAGGGGGCTAAAACATAACCAGCTAAATGGTACCTTGGCTATAGGTAAGGGATTTAGTAACCAATTGCGCCGCATAGACTTGCAAAAGAATCTGATTAGTGAGTTCAATGGAACAGAAGGATATGACATTCAGATAATGTGAGAGAGTCATTTCTTCTAGCTCTCCATTAATTTGTTTTTTGCTTAAGAACTTGGCTCTTATTACTTGGAGGTCAAGTTGCCTTTAGATGTATCCCCTTTGAGTGTTAAAGCTTATGAATGTCTTTCTTGGTTTAATAGATTTAATTAATTTATGCAGACTTGCTGATAACCCAATTTGTGAAGAGACAGGCGCAACAAAAACTTACTGTGTAGTTCCAAAATCAATTTCCACTTACTTGTATACTACCCCTACCAACAACTGCCTACCTGCTACATGCAGTTCAGACCAGGTTTCTAGCCCCAACTGCAGATGTGCATATCCATATACAGGAATTCTAATTTTTAGAGGAATTTTTTTCTCAGACTTGGGGAACTCAACCATATATGTGGTTCTACAGACATCTCTGATGCAGTTCTTCCAATCCAACAATCTTCTTGTTGATTCGGTTTCACTATGTAATCCAAGAATAGATCCTTCTAGATATTTTCTATTGAACCTTAGTATCTTTCCATATGGCCAAGATAGTTTCAATCGAACAGGGGTTTCTACAATTGCATTTATATTTAGCAACCAATCTTACCAGGCACCATCTAATCTTTATGGACCTTATTTTTTCGTTGGTGATGCTTACAACCACTTTTCAGGTATTTACACAATTATTATAGAACCATAATGAACTATTAAATGTAGCTCTATTTGATGTTAATCCACACTTTTATGTCATATGTGGTTTCTTCAGATGCTCCAAACTCCCCAAAATCAACTATTGGCATCATTATTGGAGCAGCTGTTGGTGGTTCTGTGCTTTTGCTACTTTCACTGCTTGCTGGGGTTTACGTTTTTCGTCAAAAGAAGAAGGCAGAAAGAGCAAGCCTAGAGAGCAACCCCTTTGGTATGATTAGCATTTATTTACTGTAGCATATTCTGGTTGATTGCACATAAACTTCAGGTTTCTTAACCCATTCTTTGCTATACAAATGCAGCACACTGGGATGTTAAGAAAAGCAACGGAAGCATTCCTCAGTTAAAAGGTGCAAGATGTTTCTCTTTTGAGGAGCTTAAGAAATATACAAATAACTTTTTAGAGGCCAATGATATTGGATCTGGGGGTTATGGAAAGGTGTCTCTCCCTCTCTCTCCTTAAAAGTGAAATGATTATTCTTTCCTAAATAAAATTGTGTTATTAACCCCCTTTCATTTGAACTGATAATTTTACAACTCGCATGTATTGGTCTTAGTTACCATAGGGACATGCGCACATAACATTTTTATATACATATATATGGAGCAAATAAGCCCTTGATGAAACTTTGGTGGCTTATCCACCCTAGAACTTACAAATAGCGGCAAATCTCCCCAAAGTGATAGAATTTGTTAGTTTATATTGGTCAATGTATAATTTATCTGATGTGGTATGATAGGCTGACTAAGGTCAGTCAACAATTTCCATCAACTTTGGGGAGATTTGTTGTTGTTTGTAAATTGTTAGATGGATTTGCCACCAAACTTTCATTAGGGGCTTACATGCTAGTAAAAGAATTTTTAAGGGGCTTAGTTACCTATTATTCCAATAGAAAATAGTAGTTTTAGTTGGAACTTTTGTATTAGTTGGAACTTTTGTATTAAAAAATAAATCAATGTATCCTCAAGGCCTCTCTTTTATATTAGAAAAGTTCCACGTGGATTTTTGGCAATCATGCAATATGATCAATGCTATGCTGCTAAGCAAATCATGAACATGATATGATTAACATTATCAATTTAACTTCAAACTTTTGTTAATCCAGCAGTTTATCACTGAAGCAAATTACAGATTTATCAACTTTCCAACACTGCTGTTCCTTTTCTCAAATTTATATTTTTGTCTTCAATAATAATCTTCGTTACATTACATTACATGATTATTAAAGTTTCAATCTTCAATCAATTGCAGGTTTATAGGGGAACTCTTCCCAATGGAGAGCTGGTTGTGATCAAACGAGCCCAGCAAGGATCAATCCAGGGTGGGCTGGAATTCAAAACAATGATTGAACTTCTATCTAGAGTCCATCATAAGAATGTTGTCGGTCTACTAGGATTTTGTTTTGAGCGAGGTGAACAAATGCTAATATATGAATATGTTCCAAATGGCTCTTTGTATGAAACTCTATCAGGTATATTCCTCCATTTCTTCCATTTTTGACCCAACATGAATTACTTAACGAGTTATGTAGCTAGACATTTTTTTATAATTTATATATACTATTGTTGAAAGAGCAAATGATAAGTCTCTACGGTTGAAAGTGCAAGAAACAACTCAAAATGCTTTGTGAATATAACTTTTCACCACTTGCTTCTTTGCAACTGTCTAATGATTCTAACTAGTTATTTTCCATTCTGTCTATAACAAATGAATTTACGTTACATCCTTCACATTTCTCGCATAACAAGCTAGCCTTACGTTTAGCAAATTCTCCATTTAATTTGCTTCATTGTAAAGTTTCATACTATCTGCAGGAAAGTCAGGAATCAAACTGGATTGGACCAAACGACTCAAAATAGCCCTTGGTGCAGCTAGAGGCCTGGCATATCTGCATGAACTTGCCAATCATCCCATCATACATAGGGACATTAAATCGACTAACATATTATTGGATCAGTGCCTCACTGCTAAAGTTGCTGATTTTGGTCTTTCCAAGCCTATAAGTGACAGTGAAAAAGGTCATGTTACCACTCAAGTCAAAGGGACAATGGTGAGTGCTTTGGTGAGTGCTTTTATACACGTACTTCAGTGAGATAATAAGGAATTCCTGTCTTCTGCTTAAATAATGAGGATTAAGAAGCAACAGAGCTTATTGGTGATTAATCATGTTTGTCTTTGTAGATAATAGTAGCATGATGTTTAAGAGGTTGTCTATAATGAGTCAATGATAAAGTTAGTCAGCCATACTTCATTAGCTTAGATCTATTAGTTAAATGAAGTATATTCTCATTTTTTTCTGGGAAAAGATTTTATATCATTTCACAACAAAGATTCAGAATATCCTATGCAAGCTAAACATTTTTTGTTCTTAGTATAACAATTTTATGAGGGAAAAAGGGAGGAAGCTGAGGTTTAGTTTAGTGACAATTCTTTACTGTGCTAGAAGAATTTGATCATGCCTGCGGTTTTTGTCATTGATGTAGGGTTACTTGGATCCTGAATATTATATCACCCAGCAGCTAACTGAGAAGAGTGATGTTTACAGTTTTGGGGTGCTTTTGTTGGAGCTGGTAACTGGAAGAAGACCAATAGAGGGAGGGAAGTATATTGTAATAGAGGTGAGAATGGCACTGGATAAGACAAAAGACTTGTATAGTCTTCATCCAATTCTTGACCCAGCCATTGTGGATACAAGCCTGAAAGGTTTAGAAAAGTTTGTGGACCTAGCAATGAGCTGTGTGGAAGAATCAGGAGCTGGCAGGCCTACAATGGGTGAAGTGGTAAAAGAGATTGAAAGCATCATGCAGATTGCCGGCATGGCTCCTAATTTTAAGTCAGCCACAAGTTCGTCAAGTTATGAGGAGGCATCCGAGGGGAATACCCTCCATCCATATAACAATGTCTCCTTTGCTCATTGTACTACATTTCCAGCTTCGAAGGTTTGAACATATGTTGGGTTTGATTTTAGTTTAGTTTTTGGAGAATTGAACAGCTTCTATGTTTAGGATTCAGTTTGACAAGAGGATATATATATATATGTTTTGTATTGTTTCTCTTTAGTTTCTTCCAAATTGAAATGGATAGATGATTGAAAATTATTGTCATTGTGTAGAAAGACAGAAAATGCTTTTGGAGATATATGTCTCCTTATTTTATTTTTGGCGTTTAATTATTATACTCTCAAAACCATGTCGACAAGGTATTATTCTTTATGATACTTAACACGAAGTGCTATTTGGTTTTACTATATATTGTCAACTTCACATATCATCTTTGCTGATATTTCAGTTTCTCTATTTCTGTTATGTGCTATTGTCTTCTAATTTCATATCTGCTATTCTAACTTCCATTACAGACCGCCTTCACTACAAAGAACCTTTTCAGTGACAAAAACAGTCATAGGGAACTCCCGGAGACTGCAGAGGAGGCTAAACACCGAGCTGAGGTTATTAGGTAAGTGAACTGTGTTACAGATAAAAATTATCACAACATGCATTGAAACCAAAGATGAAAAACTCATGAATGCAGCATTTTCGTTTCTAATGGAATCTTTAGGAATCTGATTTGAGAATGGGAATATATTTTCTTGTAACTTTGAAGATCTTAGCTTTTTAGTTCTCAAGGAATATGTGTGGTTACTTACACGAGGTGATTTTTGCAGGCTGAGGGAGCTTACACTTAAGGGGCATGTTGAATCAGTCGTTAAACTGAAGGGACTTGACATTGATATGGCAACCTTTGATGCATCCACAATAGAGAATTTTCTGCAAGGGTGGGACAAGGAGAAGCCGGTGAGATACACTGGTCAGCAGTTGGATGACTTTACAAGCAATTACTCGAAAAGGTTGGGATCTGGAGCATATGGGGATGTTTATGAAGGGCGGTTTCCAAATGGAGTCAAGATTGCAGTGAAGTTGCTCAAGGAGAAATATGAGGGAGCAGCAAAAAAACAGTTCATGGCAGAGGTAGGCACAATTGGAATAACATACCATATTAATTTGGTTAGACTTTATGGTTTCTGCTATGATAGAAATACAAGTGCACTTGTATATGAATTCATGGAAAATGGATCGCTTGATAATTGTTTGTTTGCAAAGGAGGAGATGATTGAGTGGGAAAAATTACATGTAATAGCGGTGGGGACAGCCAAAGGAATTGCTTATCTGCACGAAGAATGTCAACAGAGAATTATTCACTATGATATAAAGCCAGCCAATATTCTACTTGATTCCAACTTCCTACCTAAAGTTGCAGATTTTGGGCTTGCAAAGCTCTGCAACAGGGACAATACTCATGATTCAGTTACCGGATTCAAAGGAACCCTTGGTTACTCTGCCCCAGAGTTTTTTCTGAGAAACCATCCCATAACTTACAAATGTGATGTGTATAGTTTTGGAATGTTGTTGTTTGAGATAGTTGGGAGGAGGAAAAACAAGGTTAGCAATTCCTCTGAAACCCTTGATTGGTTTCCAAAGGTTGTGTTGGATAAGTACCAGAAGGGTGAGTTGGTTGAGCTAATAAAAAGTTATGGGATTAAAAAGGAGGATATGGAAAGGGCAGAGAGAATGTCAGTAGTGGCATTGTGGTGTGTTCAAGACTCACCAGGAGCTAGGCCACCAATGAGTGCTGTGGTGAAGATGCTGGAAGGAGGAGTGGAGATCATGCCACCTCCTAAACCCACTCATTTACTGTTCTCATCGTGGGGGACAAGTGCAGTCAAGCCACCAAATGCTACCAATGGCTCGAGTTCCTCCTCGAGTGAAGAATCCACTTCTTATTGGTATAAAGAGACCACTTCAATCATGGCCAAGCATGAAATAGAAGTGGCCAGTAGTTAACAAGACTAAAATCTAGTTTCATACTTTGGTGGCATATCCATCGCTGCACTTGCCAATAGCAGCAAATCTCTCCGAAGTGATAGAAATTGTGAGTCTATATTGGTCAATGTATAGTTTATCTGATGTGGTACAATAGGCTGACTAAGATTAGTCAACGATGTCCATCAAGTTTGGGGAGATTTTCCTTTTTTTGTAAATTGTTAAGTGGATTTGCCGCCAAACTTTCATTGGGGACGTATTGGCTAGTAAGAATTATTTTATGGAGCTTATTTACCTGTTATTCCAATATAAAATAGCTACCGATTGGCAGTTTTTATTGCTGGACAAAAAAAAAAAGGATTGGCGATTTTACTTGGAACTCTGTATTAGAAAATAATCAATCTATACCCAAGGCCTCTCTTTTACATTAGAAAAGCTCCACTCGGATTTTTGGCAACTATGTAATATGATCAATACTATGTTGCTAAGTAAATCATGAACCTGATATGATTAACATATTCCATTTAACTTTAAATTTTTGTGAATATAGCAGGTTATTACTGAAACAAATTATAGATTTGTCAACTTTTCAGTATTGCTGTTCCTTTTCTCGAATTTATATTTTTTTATCTTTAATTATTATCTATGTTACATTACATTATATGATTTTTAAAGTTTCAATCTTCAATCAATTATATAAGTTTATGCGGGAACTCTTTCTCAATGGAGAGCTAGTTGCGATCAAATGAGCTCAGCAAGGATCAATGCAAGGTGGGTTAGAATTCAAACTAGAGATTGAACTTCTATCTAGAGTTCATTAGAAAAATGTTGTCAATCTATTAAAATTTTGTTCAGAATGAAGTGAGAAAATACTAATATATGAATATGTTCCAAACGGCTCTTTGTATGTTCCTCTGCTTTTTCCGTTCTTGACCCAATATAAACTATTGAACGAGATATGTAACTAGACAATATTTTCACAATTTATATATATTATTTTTGAAAGAGCAAATGATAAATTTCTATTGTTGAAAGAGAAAGAACAACTCAAAGGTTTTCTAAATATAACTTAATAAGAAAGATAATCAAAATAAAGATTAATTGAATGAAAAATTATTTAATATTGTTCTTTCACAAAATATTTATTAATAATTTTTTACTTTTCTTTTTTTAGTAGTGTTTTCTTACTCATTATGTATCTTCATTTTGTTTAGCAATTAATGGTATTTATATATCTTTATCAATCATTATTAATTTATTGTTAAAAAATTAATAAATATTATTTATAATTAATTTTAAATAAGTTTTCTGTTTTATCAACTTTTTAATTTATACGTAGATAAATTATTTTTTACTAAAAAATTTTTTCTTGACAACCCTAAAAATTATTTCTAGCTTCACCACTGCCTAGCTTCCTCCCTCCTTTCCATGTTGTCACATTGGCATGCTCTCTGTCATTCCCTTTCGTTCAAAAAGAGAGGTCAAGGAAGAACAAAAAATGGGGAACAAAGAAATCGAACAAAACGTGTAAGGATAGGTCCAAGGTGCCCAACCTCGGACGTACGGCAATAATTCCTTTATAATCGGAGTGAAGAATAAATCCAGAGCTTCCCGCTCAAGCAACTGCATGACAGCAATAATAAGCATGCTCGCACCTGATTCCTTATGACAAGTTGCACAGCAGTTACGATGGACATTCTCACATCTGAATATCTCTCAATTTCTCGGTCCCGAAATAACCATCTGGAGAGACACGTCAGATTCCGATTATCTTGCTTGGCATGCCATGTGGGTTCCTCACTGAAGCCTATAAATACCTTCCAGGGGCCACGTCAAAAAGGTAATTGAAACCATCCTAAAGCTCCTTTTTCATTAATCCAGAGATAGACTCGATTATTGCTGACTTAAGCATTGGAGTGTCTACCCCGAGGACCCACCTCGGGGCTTTGTAGGTTCATCCAAAGTGAAGACGTAGATTGAAGAAGGATCTCTCATTTGGTGCAATTACATTTGGCACCGCCTGTGGGAATCCGAACTGAAAGCTTTCTTGTTGCTCTTTCATCATGGTTAACACTCGATCAGTCCGAGCTGGAAATCCATCTCTGCCTCTTGGACAAGGTCAACTCCCCGACAACCTCCCACCTCAGCTCCCACCTCAACTTCCACCTCAGATCCCAAATATGTTCCCTCCTGTTGATCATGCAGAAGGAGGAGATGAAAACCAACCTCATAACTCAACTCACAACTCAACTTCCACCGCCAACCAAGATGTAGTCACAACTCAGCTTACTGCCATGCAACAACAGTTTGGTGTCTTTCAGTTAGTACTGTCTCAGCTCTTAGCTCGGAACAATCCTGGTGATCCCCTCATCACTTTACTCAACCCTACTCAACAACCCCTAGCTCCACAGCAAAACCCTTAACCAGTTGAGCATGCTCCTGCTCTTAGTGAATCTCAGGGTCAATCTCACATAGCACCAGCTCAGCAACCTCTCCCTGATGATGTCACTCAACGTTTGGACAGTTTAGAAAACTGGTAGCTGAACAGCGAGGTGCCCCACCTCCACACCATGCTGCTGACTCCATACCTCACCCTCTAAACACCAACATCACACTGGAACCTTATCCCGCTGGCTTCAAAATACCTCAACTTGAGACTTATGATGGGACGAAGGATCCTGATGATCACCTACATGCTTTCTACTCTTGTATGCAAGCCCAGAATGCCTCTGACGCGTTGATGTGCAAAATCTTTCCCTCTACTCTCCGAGATAATGCTCGAACTTGGTATTACAGTCTGCCTTCGAGGTCAATCAGCTCTTATACAGAAATGGCATCTGCCTTTGTCACAACGTTTTCCAGTAGAAGGTTGATCAGGAAAACTACTTCTGAGCTGATGCGAGTCAAATAGAGGGACGGAGAATCTCTGAAGAATTATATGAGCAGATTAAATGATGCAGTACTGGAAGTCAGCTCCTTCGACCAGGCTGTGGGAATTGTAGCTGTGATCTCAGGTCTTAACCATAACAGATTTAGAGATAGTCTGCTCAAGTATCCTGCCACCACCTTTAGCGAGGTAAATGATAGCTCACTGAAATTCATAATTGCTGAAGAATATGCCTTGTCGTAGAAGCCAACCCCCTCTAAGAACCAAAATCCAGACTGGAGAGATGAGAATCAGAGCAGGAAACGGATGCGGACAGCACAGAACCGAGGTCCGATGTCGACCTTCACATCGAGATTCGGAAGGCCGAACTTAGCACCTCCGCAATAATCTGCAAGTAAACCTCCAGTTAATTGGACCCCTTTTAATTTGCCGAGGTCACAGATTTTCATGCAGATTAAGAATAAGATGGAATTAAGGCGTCTCGGCCCAATGAGAACTATTGCTGCTAGTCGAGACCATACTAGATATTGTGATTTTCATCAAGATCACGGTCATACAATAGAGCAATGCAACAGTCTAAGATCCGAGCTAGAAAGTCTAGCCTAGAAGGGAATGTTGAATGAGTACATTCAGAGAGCTGAACAGCCAAGATTTGTCAGAGAATAGGGGCCACAGCCCCAAGGAATCCATAATCCACCAAACAGGTAAGGAGTAGGGCATCAACAAGCCCCACCTCCACTTCCACCGCCAGCTAGAATTATACACATGATTACGGGAGGCCTGGAAGTAGGTGGACTGAGCTCTAAACAGCGAAAGTTGTATGTCAGAGAGGTTAAGCATCAGAACCGAGCTCAGAAACGGAAGTTTGACGATGTTGATTGGAAAAATCAACCCATTACTTTCACATCTGCTGATTTCGATGCAGTCGTCACACCCCACAATGACCCTCTAGTCACTTCTGTTATGATAATAATTGTGAGGTGCAACGTGTCCTTGTTGACACAGGGAGTGCACCAGACATCATGTACTTCCACTGTTTTGAGAGTCTTGGGCTGAATCTAGCTTTGTTACAGCGATATAATGGTCGCATCTATGGATTCAACAACCAACCAGCTCCAGTTGAAGGAGTCTTAACCATGAATGTTGCATTCGGAAGTGGCCGAACCTATGTGACTCCTTCAGTTCGGTTTTTAGTAGTCAAGATGGCGTCCTCTTTCAACGTTGTTATTGGCCGACCCACATTGACTGAAATCCGAGCTGTGGTTTCCCAGTCTCACCTCTGCATGAAGTTCCCAACTCCTATGGGAATAGCGACACTACGAGGCAACCAGGAGGTGGCTAGACATTGCTATATCACCTCGGTCACACGACCTCAGAAGGGCAAAGATCAGACATACGAGGCCATTCCCCAACGGATTCCTGATAATCAGCAAGTCATGGGTGTTGAGATAGTAGATAACAGACCAAAAGATGAAACCAGAGCTGCTCTAATCGAAGATGTCGAGGAAGTGCCCATTGACGACAGAGATCCAAGCCGAAAAATGTAAATTGGAACTCGATTGAGCACGGAGGAAAGAGCAAAGCTAATAGCTTTTCTCCGCGCCAACAACGATGTCTTTGCTTGGACTTCGGCAGACATGTCAGGAATTCCACCCTTGGTATCCCAACATAAGCTCAGCACCAATCCATTAAAGAAACCAATGGCCTAGAAGCGACGTCTCTTCGGGGGGGGAGAGGCTTCAGGCCATAAAGGAAGAGGTAGAGAAGCTTCTACAAGTTGGTTTCATCAGAAAAGTTGATTATTGCGAATGGGTGGCTAACCCAGTACTGGTGAAAAAGGCAAATGGTAAATGGCGAACATGCATCGACTACACAAATTTTAACCAAGCCTGCCCCAAGGATTGCTATCTAATGCAGAGCATTGATAAATTGGTTAAAGCGGCTTTAGGTAATGAGAGATTAAGTCTCTTGGATGCATATTCTGGGTATCACCAGGTGCCGATGGCTCCAAAAGATGAAGAGAAAACCTCGTTCTACATTGGTGATGAAATCTATTGCGATGTCATGATGCCATTTGGCTTAAAGAACGCAGGTGCTACTTATCAAAAATGGTGACCATTGTCTTTCGAGTTTAAATCGGTAGGAATCTGGAAGTTTATGTCGATGATATCGTGGTAAAGAGCCTGAAAGCAGGAGACCATCTAGCTGATCTTGATGAAACTTTCAACAATCTTAGAAAGAACAAAATGCGGTTAAACCTAGCCAAATGCATCTTCGGCGTGGAGTCTGAAAAATTTCTAGGCTTTATGGTTTCCCGAAGAGGGATTGAGGTCCATCCAAAAAAGATCAGAGCAATTGCCGAGATGGAACCGCCAAAGTCAATGAAAGATATACAGAGGTTGACTGGAAGGGTGGTAGCTCTTCATCGGTTCATATCGAAGTCAGTAGATAAGTGCCTGCCATTTTCAAAATTATGAGGTCAGCCGCCCAGAAAGATGAATCGGGAAAACAAAAGAAGTTTG